ATTAAAAGATTATAATTCCTTGTCATTAACTAAATTTTATAGGATTTGAAAGAAAAAAACTAGTATTTGATGTTTCTTAAAGAGTCAACTGATTTTCAACAAAGTTGCAAGGAAACTCAATGAAGAAAGAATAATCTCTACAACAAAGGTCCTGGAACAGAGAAAAACACCAAATATGCAAAAAACTTTAAAACCCATCCAGCACTGTAGGCAAAAATTAACTCACAGTATTAACTTTGAATCAAAATTAACTCAAACTCCTAAACACAAGTGCCAAAATGTTAAAAATGTCAAAAGGCAATCAAGGAGAAAATCTTAGTGAATTTGTGATAGGGAATATTTCTATGACTTTTCACAGAATGTCTGAATCAGTGATCTAGAGAGATGGCTCAGTGGTTAAGTGCACTGGCTGCTCTTGCAGAGGTCCCAGGTTCTGTTGCCAGCACCCATTTGACTATTCACAACTGTCCCTAACTCCAATTCCAGGGGATCTGATGCCCTCTTCTGCTCTCCATGGGTATTGCACACATGTGGTGCACTTACTACATGCAGGCAAAACACTCATACACACAATATAAAAGTTTTAAAAAACTGTTTTAAATGTTTGAGTCAAAAAAGAAAAAATTAATATTAGAAGTCATTAATATTAAAAGTAGTTGATTTTCAAAGGACATGGTTAACAAAATGAAGAGACAAGATGAAAACTAGGAGTAAATACTTGCCAAACATGTATCTGGATGAGACACATCAAGAACAAAGAACATATTTAAGGCTGGAGAGATCAGTCAGTGTGTAAGAGCACTTGCTGTAAAAGCATAAGGACCCGAGTCTGAATCCCTAACACCCATGTAAAAAGCCAGGCATGTTTGTGTAAGCCTGTAACCATAATCCCAGGCAAGACAGGCGGATCCCAGGAGCTCACCAGCCAGAGAGCCAACTCTAGATGGCAAGCTTCCAGTTCAGTGAGAGACCCTGTCTCAGGACAATAAAGTGGAGAGTGATGGTTCCTGATATCTTTATCTGGTCTCTTGATGTGCAACATGGGCAAACATCCATAGTTGCATACATGCACTAACAGGAAACACACACACACACACACACACACAACAAACAAACCATTCAAACACATACAATTCAATAGGAGAGGAAAAAAGATACCTCACCATAAAATGAACAAATTTCTTTGAATATAGTCACTGAAACTGATTCCTAGTTTGCAGATGAAACCTGAAAGTCAAGTGTGTATGGACAGAAAGTATGTATGACTCTGAAGTACATGATTTAGTTCAGAATTTTTTACCATACTTCAATTTCTTCCAATGTGTTTGTGACAGAATTCAAAAACTATTCTTAAAACTTTTATAAGTAGTTTTAAGATCCCATGAAGACATCTTAACAAACTAAGAAGAGCTATATTGTCTTCTGTATATCAGAGGAAAGGTTCACACCACTTAAGCCCCAATAAACTACAAAACTGATTATGTGAGTCAAATGGCAAACTCTGCAGTATATTTCAGATATAGTTTCTAGGCTCTGAGTCTGTATGCTAATCACTGTCAGTGGCAGTCACATAAATCACAAAGTAGGAAAAGGAAAGTATTTTGTATTTATTTATATTTTATGTGTATGGCTGTATAGCCTGAATGTGTATAAGTGCACCTGTGTTGTGCAATGCCCACGGAGGTCAGAAGAGGGCATTGAATTCCCCTGAAACTGGACTTAAGGATGGTTCTTGGCTGCCATGTAGGTCCATAACTGCTGAGCCATCTCTCCAGCCTCAAAGGAAAGTATTTTGTTTTGGAAAGAGACATTTACACACACACACACACACACACACACACACACACACACAGTTCTGGCCATATATGTATCTGAAGTAATTAAAGATATTTGGTAGCAGGATTACTTTATACTTTTTTAATATTTCTTAGTTTGTAATCACATTTGTCACATTTATAGCAAAAACAAAATTAGGGGCCAGCAAGATGATTCAGCAGGTAAAGATGCTTGCCACTGGCAAGTGTGGCAACCCGAGTTCAATCTCTGGAACCCCCATAAAAAGTGGAAGAAAAGAATCCACTCCATCAAGCTGTCCTCCGCCCTGTATGCTGTGGCACTCACATCCACACAACACACTCAAGAATAATTGAATATAAAAAAATTAGTTGGCAGTGCTGACATCACAGCAGAGAGTAGCAGGCATATCAGAGTATAAGGACTCTAGTGGGGGGAGGGAGGCTCTGGGAGGGTGCTACCTGGGAAGTGGGTGTATAAATAAAAAAAAAATTGTTCAAAGCATAAAAAAAAGCTCCTTAATAATTAGTAGATGTGAAAAATATTACCATTGAAATCTACCTGATGACTTTATATCCAT